AAGATCACTCTGGCTGGAGCAGAGAGAGTGAAGGGAATAATAAGAGACAGCATTAGAAAGATATAGGCCGCTGTTTAAAACTTTTTTTTTTTTAAGCCAGAGTCTCACTCTGTCACTCAGGCTGAAGTGCAATGGTACACTCACAGCTACTGCAGCCTCAACTTGCTGGGGCTCAGCTGTCTCAGCCTTCCAAGGAGCTGAAACTACAGATGTGTGGCCCCATGCCCAGCTAGTTTTTACTGTAGAGACGAGGTCTTGCCATATTGCCCACGCTGGTCTTGAACACATGGGCTCAGGCAATCCTCTTGCCTCTGCCTCCCAAAGTGCTGGGATTACAGGTGTGAGCCATCATGCCTGGCTTTTTTTAAAGAGACAAGGTCTTGCTATCGTGCCCAGGCTGGCCTCAAACTACTGGGCTTAAGCAATCCTCCTGCCTCTGCCTCCCAAAGTGCTGGGATTACAGGTGTGCACTACCATGCCCAGCTGACTGTAAGACTTTTACTGGATATACTTTGAAGGTTGAGTCAGCAGATTTCCCGACAGGTTAGAGATAGAATAAGAAAAAAAATCAAGGATGATTCTAAGGCTTTAGGTCTAGGGAACATTAAAGACAAAGTTGCCGTGAACTAAGATGGGAAATGTTCCAAGAAAAGCAGGTTTGAGAAGGAAGAATAGCCTGTTTGGTGTTAGATATACTGTGCTAGATATATCTATCAGAAAGTCAAGTGGAGATATCCACAGGTGGTTGGATATATGTGTCTACAGTTCAGGAAAGAGATGTGACTAGAGATATAAATCAGTATACAGACAGCATTTGAAGCCATGAAACCATGAGTCTCCTAAGAAAGTATAGACAGAGAAGAAAAGAGATCTAGGGCCTAAGACTTGGGATAGCACAACATTAAGACATTGGGGGGGGGGGTTATCAGCAAAGGAGATTGAGAAATCATGATCAAAGAGGCAGGTGAAAATGAGCAACCCCGTTTAAACTGGGTCTATCAACTATTTCCCTTTTTTTTTTTTTTTGAGTTGGAGTCTCACTCAGTCACCCAGACTGGAGTGCAGTGCCGCTCCCGGCCACCGCAGCCTCGACGTGCTGGGCTCCAGTGATCCTTCTGCCTCAGCCTTCCAAGTAGCCGGAATCACAGGCATGCGCTACCACGCCCAGCTGATTTTCTGATTTATTGTAGAGATGAGGTCTCGCTGCCCAGGCGGGTCTCGAACCCGCGGGCTCAGGCAATCCACTCACCACAGCCTCCCAAAGGCACGGGATTACAGGCTGAGCCACCAAGCCTAGCCAATCAACTACTTCCTTAACCTTGTGAAAACTGCTTCACCTCTTCATGCCTTGATTTCCTTGTCTGTACAATAAGCATGGTACCAATTATCTCACATAATTTTTGTGAGAATTAAATGAGACTAAGTGCAGGAAAATGGTTAGCATGTTGAGTGCTGGAACTCTGCAAGTGCTCAATAAATGGTAGCCATATTATGATTGACAGCAATAAATCTTAGCCCCCTCCTAACCTACTACAGTCACTTATTCTACTACTTTACAGAAAATGAAGGAGAAGTTGGAATTTAAAGATCAACAAAGGCAATAGCAGCCTTTACAGTAAGACCGGAACCGACCACTTCAGCCTTAACCTGACTATTCCTCTATTCATAAACAAGGTAAATGGCATTCTTGGAAATGCTTGTTTTTCCTTGAGCGTGCCCTATATATCCTGCTTCTATACTTTGTTCATATTGCTTTCTCTGCTTCACATACGCTCTCTGTACCTACTTGCTAAAATTCTTACAAGGCATATCACAAAATCCTTGAAATTATTTTCTACTTTGAAATCATTTTTGGTTTGCCCCCACGTCACCCCCTGCTTTATTTGCTCATTTGCTTGTTTTAAGGGACAAGGTCTTGCTCTGTTGCCCAGGCTGGAGTACAGTGGTACAATCAAAGCTCACTGTAATCTCACACTGCTGGGCTCAAGCAGTTCTCACGTCTTGCCTCCCAAGTAGCCAGGAATACGGATGCATGCCAACACACTTGGCTGACTTAAAATTTATTTTTTTGTATAAATGGGGTCTTCCTATGTTGTCCAGGCTGATCTTGAACTCTTGGTCTCAAGTGATCCTCTTGCCTCAGCCTCCCAAAGTGCTGACACTATAAGCATCAGCCACTTTAACTGACTTCATTCTTTAAAATATTTACAGGTTTAATGAACTCTTATGGCACTTACCATTTCCTTGGTGGGGGCAATCAAGACCGTAATTTTAAGTGTATTAACCTTTCATTTTATCCTCTTAGGTTATCCTTTCTAATCATATACTAGACCTAGCAATATATTATCAGTTTAATAAAGAGAGTATTAAAAAAAAGCACAAGTATTTTTAAAAGATATAACTTAACCACTGTTACTACATTTGCTTTCCTTCTAAGTTTCTATTTAAATCAATATCCAGTGCTACATTAAATCTTGTTTTATACATATCTCCTTTTTACATTCTTTACTCTTATTACTCATGTTGGGAGTTAATTTTCAACCTGAAAATAATGTACTCTGCTAAAATTTATCTTGTTAAAATTTGTTCAATGTAAGAAATCCAATTTGTAAATGCATTTCAATCTTTTTCTGTGTTCATAATGTTTATTTTGTCACAATCAGTAAACTGTATGCTGAACAACTCACTCTATATTCATCTGGAAAAATAAAGCAACCTCTTTTCAGCATGATATTAAAGTATACCTGTTTGAGTTCACTTTCCTCTAATTTCCGGCTCTCCCAGAAAACAGCTGGTCTGTTTATCTATTTTATTTTTAAATGAATAGTAGGAAAAAAAGCAGAGTTATTTAGTAGAAAGCTTTTAGGGCCGGAAACAGTGGCTCATGCCAGTAATCCCAGAACTTTGGGAAACCAGGTCAGGAGGATCACTTAAGGCCAGGAGTTTGAGATCAGCCTGAGAAACATAATGAGATCCTATCTCGACAAAGAAAATTTTAGAAATTAGCCAGACATAGTTGCATGCACCTGTAATTCGAGCTTCTTGGGAGGTTGACACAGGAGAATCTCTTGACCCCAGGAGTTCGAGGTTATGGTGAACTTTGACTGCATCATTGCACTCCAGCCTGAGTAACACAGCAAGACCTGTACCTTTTAAAAAAGGCTTCAGGGCCAGGTGTGGTAGCTCACACCTATAATTCCCAGCATTTTGGGAGGCCTAGGTGAGAGGAGTGCCTGAGCCCATAGGTTTGAGACCAGCCTGGGCAAGTTGGCGAGCCCTCATCTCTACAATTAACCATGGAAAATTAGCTGGGTGGGATGGCACATGTCTATAGTTCCAGCTACTTGGAGGCTGAGGCGGAAGGATCACCTGAGACCAGCAGTTTGAGGCTGCAGTGGCCGGGAGCGTGACACTGCCCTCCAGTCTTGGCAACAGAGTGAGACTCCGACTCAAAAAATAAAAATAAATAAAAACAGACTTCAGACCAGGTATGGTGGTTCACGCCTATAATCTCAGCACTTTGGGAGGTCGAGGTGAGAGGACTGCCTAAGCCCGTGGGTTTGAGACCAGCCTGAGCAACTTGGTGAGACCTCTTTAAAAAAAAGGCTTCAGACTCCATCAGACCTAGGCTTGAATCTTGGCTTTACCTGGTTCAAGTCAAGTAAACTGTATAATCTTGACCAAGTTGCTTAATGTTCTGGTCCCTATGTTTATAATGAGAAAATCACTTAAGGGTTGTTGAAAAAGTAAATGAAAAATTGGGTATGTAAATAAAGCATGAAGACTGAATGCTAGCATAACATTTTCTCTGTATTACTGGAAGCCATTAATCTTTTTTAAAAAATGACAGTATCTGACTCTGTGACCTGCAGTGTGGATCATAATTCACTGTAGCCTCGAACTCCCAGGCACAAGCAATCCTCCTGTCTCAGCCTTTCCGAGTAGCTGGTACTACAGATAAGCACCACCATGCCCAGCTAATTTTTTTTTTACAAAGATAGGCTCTTGCCAAGTTTCCAAGGCCGGTCTCCAACTCTTGGGCTCAAGTGATTCTCTTGCCTCAACCTCCCAAAATGCTGGGATTATAAGCAAGAGCCACCACATCTGGCCCTAGAAGCCACTAATTTTAAAATTTAGACTAAGATCCCCAAGAGTCAACACTGACTTTGAAGTTGCCAAATAATACAGCTTTGTGTTTTTTTTGGTGGTGTTATACTCTGTTGCCCAGGCTGGAGTGCTGTGGTACATCACAGCTCATAGCAGCCTTGACCTCCTCAGCTCAGGTGATCCTTCCCCCTCAGTCTCCAGAGTAGATGGGGCTACAGGCATTCAACACCATGCCTGGTTAATTTTTTTGCTTTTTTCTAGAAATGAGGTCTCGCTATGTTGCCCAGGTTGGTCTTGAACTCCTAGCCTCAAGCAATTCTCCTGCTTCGGCCTCCCAAAGTGTTGGAATTACAGTTGTGAGCCACTGAGCTCAGTCAACACAGACTTTTATAAACCAAAATATTTTTATTGGTTTTACTGATATTCTACTATGATCTTTAAGATGAACAAGAAATGAGATAATGAATGATAAGAAAAGTGATGCAAACACTTATTATTACTATTGATAGATTACAAATGGATATAATTATGCTGTAATTTTAAAGCCATATATAATAGGACACATATATTAACAGAAAGAGAAAAAAGACTCTTAAAGAAAAGGGGATGTATGCAGTGATGCACGCCTATAATTCCAGTACTTTGAAAGGCAGAGGCAAGAGGACTGCTTGAGCCCAGAATTTGGAGACTAGCCTAGACAACATAGTTAGACCTCACTGCTACAAAAAAGCAAAGAAATAAAACTAAAAAATAAGAAAAGAGTATATAATCATTAAATTTACTGGAAAAAAGATACTCTGATTTCTCTTGGGATCATATAAATATTTCACCTTAAATTTATTGGAGAAAAAAAAGTAATGTTTAACATTCAATGAAACTGACAATTTCTTTACCTGAATCACTTGCTGCAACAACAACTGTTCCACCAGGAGCAAAAGGATCATTGTGCTTCAATGTTTCTACCTAAAAAAATTATATAAACCATGAATGAAAGAGGCAATATGTTCTTTACAAATTCTAAATTAATTCAGCAATATAAACATTAGGAACAAATATTTCTCCTTAGTGGTTTGCAATCTTACTGAAAGGAAGTAACACATGTTTTTTCTAATCTTCTTTAGCTGTGAAGTATTACAACCATCAGAAAAATGCATGAAACAGATCTGTGGTTTATCAAGTAAACACCTGTGCGCTCATCTCCCGGGAGCTGGCAACACCTCAGAAGGCTTCATGCAGGCTCCTCGCCAGTCACAATCCTGCCTTCAGTGGTATTCATTTAATTTTCCTTCACAATTTTCCTACTTGCATAGCAAAATTTTAACTTTTCATTTTGAAATAATTTAGATGTACAGAAGAGTGTATGGTACAGCATTACCATACACTCTTTTTTCTTTTTCTTTTTTGAATTGGAGTCTCACTATGTCCTCCAGGCTGGAGTGCAGTGGCATGCTCACGGCCACCACAGCCTTGACCTGCTGGGCTCAGGCAATCCTTTCACTTCAGCTTTCCAAGTATCTGTAACTACAGGTGTGCGCCACCATGCCCAGTTAATTTTATTTATTTTAGAGACGAAGTCTCACCATGTTGCCCAGGCTGGTCTCAAACCTGTGGGATCATGCAATTCTCTCACCTCTACCTCCCAAAGTGCTGGAATTACAGGCGTGAGCCATCGAGCCTGGCTTCTATACACTCTTCTCCTAACTCCTTCTAATGTTAATATTTCACATAATCATGGAACATCTATTTAAAACTAAGGAATTAACAAAGCTATATATTACAGACTTTATTTGAATTTCACTAGTTTTTCCATGAATGTCCTTTTTCTATTCCATGATATTATGTTGCATGTAGGACACACACTATTGTAACTCCCAAATATCTTAATATCTTAGTACTTAACATCAGAAAGTGTTGCATTTCCATTTTCTAATTGTTATCTAAAAATAATTACAGCATTCTGCTCCTCAGAGAAAATGTGCACGCACGCACACACACACAGATAGCTTTCTGCTAAAAAGATCCTGCTGCTTTCATTGATAAGCTATGTAAAAGGCTGGGAGCAAGGGTGAATGGTTACAAAAGGTGAGGATTTTACCAGAAACCAGAGAGTCCAGCTTTTAACTATTTCCCTACTCTATATTTTAGTTTTGAATCATAGTCAAACAAAATGTGTATTTCGGAAAATAACAGAATTTCCTCTCTCTGGCACCAGGTTCATTTTAAGGGGGCTAGCTGAAAGCCAGGGTAAACAGCTGAAAAGAGTTTCAGAATATTTACATCTAACTCTGACTCATGGCTGTCAATGTCATGCATATCACAGATTCTATTTCCAATCATCAAGAAACTGGATACTACAACTGAATGGCAAAAGATATTGCCAGAGCTCAATTCATAAATCTCCAAGTTTAAAAAAAAAAGTGAGCAGAAATGCAACGCTAACTGGGACTTATACTCTCTGCTTATGAAAGAAGACCCATTAGAACTGCTAGTAGAAGTTTTTAGAAATGAAAATGATATATTCATTTAAACTTGATGCCAATAATATCACTATAAAACAAGCACACTAGCTTAGATTATATCTGCTGAATGAATAAACAGCAATTAAAGAAAAAGATTAAACTGGTCTGTATAGTGAGGTAACTTTCCATGTTTCTTAACATGATAGTCAAAATACCAGTGTGACAATCATTGACATAAATTAAGTTATCAACTGCCGGTTGAATAGCCCTTAACTGAAATGCATGTGACCAGAAGTGCTTCAGATTTGGGATTTTTTTCAGATTTTAGAATGTTTGCATTATATTTACTGGGTTAGCATCCCTAATCTGAAAAATCTGAAATGCTCCAAAATCTGAATTTTGAGTGCTGACATGTCACTCAAAGGCAATATTCACTGAAGCATTACAGATTTGGGATGCTCAATCTGTATTATTGCTTCTTCTCTTGACTTGGAGGAAAGGAAAAACTAACAGGCCTTGTTTTTAAAAGTAGTTTGCAGATTTGATTTGCCATTACAAAGAGACGGAGAAAAGGCATGCTGAATATGTGTCAGGTTTAGTTTCCAGTTTTTCATCATACATTGTGCAACCACCCTAAAAGACCATCAGGAAGCAAGGGAAATGGGAGAGACTGTGCAGCCCATGAAGGAATAAGTTGGTAATAAAACTATGTTTTAATACTATAGAACAGATTGGCAGTAGTGGGACACTGCCAGGGGGGTGGGGGGGAAGGCACATGACAACAACAAGGGTACCTGATCTCAAACAAGGCAAAGTGGGGACCAAAGAGAGGACCAAACTCTAGCTGTTTGATGACCACTTGTATATCTAATACTGAATTATACCTCACATCTTAAAAAAATTTTTTTAAATATATCTATAACAAAATAAAACCTTTTGCAAATCTGTAGAGACCAAAAGTACATTAGTGGTTGCCTGGGGTTGAGGATGAGAAAGAGGATTAATTATAAAAGGGCACCAGGGATCTTACTGGGGAGGTGGATGCATTCTAAAGCTAGGGTTGCAGTGATAGTTAGACTCAGTACATTTACTAAATATTATTACATTGAATGACTTTTATGGAATGCAAATTATATCTTAATAAAGGTATTTTTTAATTAAAAAAAACTCTGCTATGTTCACTTTGAGAATTAGGCAATTTAACACACACACAGTTAAAAATCAGATGGCATAATTTTCTAAAATGAATATTTCAAGATCTTCCTAAAAGATCACTTAATTTTTTTGTTGTTGTTGTTGGAGTCTCACTTTGTCACCCAGAGTGGAGTGCAGTGGCACACTCATGGACACTACTGCCTCGACCTGCTGGGCTCAAGCGATCCTTCTGCCTCTGCCTTCCAAGTAGTTGGAACTACAGGCACACATCCCCAAGCCCAGCTAATTTTTTGATTTATTATAGAAATGAGGTCTCGCCAAGTTGCCCAGGCTGGTCACGAACCCTTGAGCTCAGGCAATCCTCTTGCTTCAGCCTGCCAAAGTGCTAGGATTACAGGCATGAGCCACCGTACCTGGCCAAGACCACCTAATTCATCACTGAAATTCTTTCTTCTATATCATCCATCCACTGCCCTCCTTTGACAATATGACTGAGAACCTGTACAATGCTATTATACAATAGTTAGGGCAGTAGAAAATGATAAAAGTTCTTTCTGTTTGTTTTTAAAATTATGCCTCTCTTACAGCAGAGACTATTCTTGAAGGAAAGTAGAAAAGACTTTTGGGGAAAATTTCATATCTGGAGGCATAATCAAAGGCCTACTTGAAAAGAAGAAGGGAAAAAAAGGAGGGGAGGTTGAGAACCAAGAAGAATTAGGTTTATTATTATTATTATTATTTGAGTTGGAGTCTCACTCTGTCGTCCATGCTGGAGTGCAGTGGCATGCTCACGGCCTCCCCAGCCTCAATCTTCTGTCTCAGCCTTTCAAGTAGCCAGAATTACAGGTGTGCGCTACCACACCTGGCTGATTTTTTATTTATTGTAGAAACAAGGTCTCGCCAAGTTGCCCAGGCTGGTCTCGAACCTGCAGGCTCAGGCAAGCCACTCGCCTCAGCCTCCCAAAGTGCTAGGATTACAGGCTGAGCCACTGAGCCCGGCCAGAATTAGGTTTAAATCCTAGATTATATTGGTGAAGTTCTTAGATTTTGGTCACATTGACCAGGGTTTGAGTCTGGTTCTATCACTTACTAACTTACTACCAACTTAATGTATTTCAGTCTTCATCTTAAAAAAAGGGTAATAACATAAGCCTCAACGGGATTACTGTGAAAATTAAATGAGACAATGCATAGAAAGGGCTTAAAACCATCCGTGGCACAGAGAAGAGATTAAATAAACTGCAACTATTATTATATTGCCAATTTGTCTTTTTTGTTTTGCTTTTTAATGGTGAAACTACCAGGTGTCAGCAAGGGCAATATTCTTGAAAACTGGGAAGAAAGAAGAAAAAGTAAGTAGAACCTCACCAAGGGAGAGAAACAGAAGGACCAAATTTATTTTTAAATAAGGGAGGGTTGAATTGGCTTTCTTGCTCTTTAAATGACAGAAATAGAGAATGAAAGGCTAGATTAATAAGGTAAGAGGGGAATAATCCAGGTTGGAGCAATTTTAGAAGAATTTGGTAAATGGGTCCACGCTGCAAACTAAGTGCTGTACAAAAACAGAGTATCCAATAGCCTGTGAAAACCACAAATATTCAGTTACGAAAGTATTTGTCCAGTTTTACATCAATGGAAAATACCAGTTGTTGGCCAAGCAGCTCTTCAGTGAATACAGAAAACGAGCAATTCAAAAACATGAAACCTATGATGCTGCCAATTGAAAGAGGACTGGATAAAAAAAATGTGGTACATATACATGATGGAATATTATGCAGCCTTAAAGGACAAAATTATGAACTTTGTAGCAACTTGTATGGGCTTAGAGGCTACAATACTGAGTGCTCTGTCACAGAAACAACTGAGTATCACATGTTCTCACTCATAAGCGCACCCTAAACATCTATTGTAATACTGTAAGAAAGGGATTGGCAGCAGTGGAAACTGCCAGGGGAGGGTGGAGGCGTGAGTGGCAGTAGTGGGAAACTGCCGGGGAAGGGAGGCACACCTCATCAACAAGGGTACATGCATAGTGAACATTTGTATACCTAATTCTGAATTGTACCCCACATATTTAAAATAAAAAAATAAACACAACTACTAATACAAAAAAAAAACCCAAGCAATTCAAGAATTCTAAAAACTAAGATCTTTAAAAAAAATCAACTACCATTTTGAGGAAGTATTCTTAATCTAAGAAAATTTTTTGCTTCAAATGCTTGTCAATCAATTCCTTCTTTCCGTGTCCAGTTTACTTAGACATAAAATTGCTGCTTTAAAAACTAATTCTCCAAATAAATATTAAAAATACAAAACCAAAAAATTTCCTAAACTATTTCTAATTATTGAAATTGAGTAGACTTCTTAAAAAATAGTTTGTTAAATTTCTCTATTTTGTGTATTTTTAAATATCCATAACATACAGATTTTGTAGAAAGCCTCCAGAAGACAAAGTACTTAGCTGCATGACCTCCAGAATGTTGGCTTTTCTGAGTCCCAATGTCCTTATTTTAAAAATAGGAATATTAGCCGGGGTTGGTGGCTCAGCCTGTAATCCCGCGCTTTGAGAGGCTGAGGTGAGTGGATTGCCTGAGCCCGCGGGTTCGAGACCCATCTGGGCAACTTGGCGAGACCTCATCTCTACAATAAATCAAAAAATTAGCCGGGCATGGTAGCATGCGCCTGTAGTTCAGCTACTTGGAAGGCTGAGGCAGAAGAATCGCCGGAGCCCAGCAGGTCGAGGCTGCGGTAGCCGGGAGCGGCCACTGCACTCCAGTCTGGGTGACAGAGTCTAAGACTCCAACTCAAAAAAAATAAAAAAAATAAAAATAAAAATAGGAATATTAACACCTGCTCTGCAAGGTTGGTGTGAAGATTAGAAATAATAATTGGAAAGCACACAGAAGTACCAGGATCACAATATGTGTTATTAAATTGTGATTGTTTTTATAGGTATGTACATTCTCAAGAAAGCCTGACATTTAGTAGAAATTTGTACTTCAAAAATTAATATTCCAGATATATCTATGAAATAACATAAGTGGTTTTATTTTTCTAAAATACAATGCTTTTTTTAAAAAGTAATTTTCATTCTTTCTTTTTTTTTTTTTTTTTTTTGGGTGGGGTATTAGAATCTGGCACACAGACTGGAGGGGAGGGGATGGACCTGGACAAATATATACACTCAAAAACACTGCAGATAAATAAAAATGAATTCCAGAAAAAAGTTTTAGTAAGACAGGAAAAAAAGAAAATGAAAAACGGAAACAAAAAAAATTGGCAGACTTAAATCTTAATTAACATATACACATTTAGCATAAATGATCTTAATATACCAATGAAAAAAAACTAATGGGCCATGTGTGATGGCATGCCTATAATCCCAAC